GATGGTTATTGATGCACATGCACTAATAGTGTTTAGTCTTCTTCAGGTGGGTTTAATGGAGCTCCTTCTGGTGTTACTGTTCCTCCTCCTGCTTTACGTTATAATAGCACTGTGTCTAACCAGTTCAGTTGTCCTGGTAGCTATCTCAATTGCTCTGCTAACAGTGTGATGGGTTCTTGTCCTAATGGATATGCTACTGTTACATGTCAGAGAGGTATACATGATCATTCACCACTTGCTATAGTACTCTCTCATTTCTTTTCAGTGTGTGCTGATTCTGATAACTCTACTCTATTCAACAATCAAACGACTGTGGTTGATGGTATTAACTATTACATTGGGATACCACAGTTCTGTGTGGGGGGAACATATGCCAGGGTATGTAATGATGGCACTAATCATCCTGGGTATGGGTCAATTTTCTGCAGAGGAGCTGGATTTGCATGTAAGCTAACATCAACCCCTCCAGTCGTTTTATCTTACTTTTATTTAGTTGGTGATCTCCTTCCTTCAAATTCAAGTCTTGCCCAGACCCTGTACAGTGGGTCCCCCCAGGGGATAATCTATTTGAGTAACTTTACGTGTTCCGGTGATGAGAATTGTGATGAGAACCCATCATTTGCCACTAATCCACAGTGTTACACTGGACAGTTGGAAACTATTTTAAGATGCTCTCCTGGAAGTAAATCAATAATATTATTTTTACTGTAATGCTTTAACATTTAAATTACAATCTTTGTCCCATTTACAGCACCTTGTAATGGGTCTAAACTGTATCTCCATAATAACATGACAAGAATAGTCAATGGACGTGAGATAGTCTCTGGCATACCGCTTAACTGTATTGATGGAGCATTTTATGCTTCTCTCTGCAATGATGGATCTCACACCCAAGCAGGTTTGAATTACTTATGCCAATCAATGGGATTTGACAACAGTAAGTATATGAAATTACTATTACAGTATTCTATACTTATCTTTATCATTAGCTAGTGTTACTCTTCCACATAATTCTTCAGTGTATGGTCGTACACCAGTAGGTACAGCCTATTATTCTTCTTTCTCTTGTCCTCCTAATGCTAATACTGTTGATGATTGTGATGCTATATCATCAACTAACCAACAGTGCTGGACTGGTACAATGGACCTAGTACTGAAATGCTCTAGAGGTACATACCTATGCATATAAATATAAAGTTAATTGATTCATATTATTTTATAGCTGCTCCCATTGTCACTCCTTCAGCCACTCCTTCAGCTACTACCACACCAACTCCTTCTGGCTCTACTTCAGTTCTTGCTAATGGAGTTACTGTTAGTGTATTGGTAGCTCTGATACTGGCTGTGCTGCTGCTGTCATAATCTCTTTAAAATGACAGCATAATTGACTAAACTGTAGCTAGCTGTATAGATCGCATACTTAATATCCTTTCATTGTTGTAGTGTAGCTA